CTATATTTTGATTTAACTTTTTCTTCCATTTGTTCCAATTTTAACATTTCTTCTTGTTTTTTCAGATTAATTAGTTCATCTAATTTCGTTGACTTTATTTTCTCTTTCATGCCTTCTAGTTTCTCTAAATTTATTTTTTCCTTCAATTCATCCAACTTCATTAATTCTTTCATTTTATTTATATCTAATTTTCCTTTCAATTCGTCCAACTTCATTAATTCTTGCATTTTGTTTATATCCAATTTTCCCTTCAATTCGTCTAGCTTCATTAATTCCTGCATTTTTTTCATATCTAATTTTTCCTTCAACTCGTCTAATTTTATTTTCTCTTTAATTTCCCCTAAATGTATTTTCCCCTTCAATTCGTCCAGCTTCACTAATTCTTTCATTTTATTTATATCTAATTTTCCTTTCAATTCGTCCAACTTCATTAATTCTTGCATTTTGTTTATATCCAATTTTCCCTTCAATTCTTCGAGCTTCATTAATTCTTGTATTTTATTTATATCCAATTTTCCCTTCAATTCATCTAGCTTCATTAATTCCTGCACTTTTTTCACATCTAATTTTTCCTTCAACTCGTCTAATTTCATTTTCTCTTTAATTTCCTCTAAATTTATTTTTCCCTTCAATTCGTCTAGCTTCATTAATTCTTGCATTTTTTTCATATCTAATTTTCCCTTCAACTCGTCTAATTTCATTTTTTCTTTTATTTTCTTTATATCTAATTTTCCCTTCAATTCATCTAGCTTCATTAATTCTTGCATTTTTTTCACATCTAATTTTTCCTTCAACTCGTCTAATTTCATTTTCTCTTTAATTTCCTCTAAATTTATTTTTCCCTTCAATTCGTCCAGCTTCACTAATTCTTGCATTTTTTTCACATCTAATTTTTCCTTCAACTCGTCTAATTTCATTTTCTCTTTAATTTCCTCTAAATTTATTTTCCCCTTCAATTCGTCTAGCTTCATTAATTCTTGCATTTTTTTCACATCCAATTTTCCCTTCAATTCTTCGAACTTCATTAATTCTTGTATTTTATTTATATCCAATTTTCCCTTCAATTCATCTAGCTTCATTAATTCCTGCACTTTTTTCACATCTAATTTTTCCTTCAACTCGTCTAATTTCATTTTCTCTTTAATTTCCTCTAAATTTATTTTTCCCTTCAATTCGTCCAGCTTCACTAATTCTTGCATTTTTTTCACATCTAATTTTTCCTTCAACTCGTCTAATTTCATTTTCTCTTTTATTTCCTTTATCTTTATTTTTCTCTTCTCTTCTACTTTCTTCTTTACTTCTTGCATTTTTTTCATTTTTATTTTTTCCTTCAACTCTTCTAACTTTATTGCTTCTTTTAT